AATCACCACCGAAACCAGTAGCTTAAAATAAATGCCACTGTCCTTTTTCTTCAGGAGTATCTGGGTATCATGGTATTCGTGGGTATCATGACTGGACTCAGCTGGTCTCCTTGGGAGCTTTTCAGATGGGGCCTAGGCTAGAGTTTTATATATATATATGAGGTATTATTAGTTAGTTTTTCTCCTTGGCATGCATGACAAGATACTCAACAAATGCAACTTGAGGGTTTGGTTTTGGCTTACGGTTTGAAGGGATACAGTCCGGCATGGAGGGGATGTGCCGCAGCTGTGAGCAGGAGGCATGGGGTCACCACACGCTGCAGTCGGGAAGCAGAAGGAGATGAACTTGAGGTGACTTTCTCCTTTTTATCAGTGTGAGACTCCAGCCTATACAATGGAGCTGCCCACACTTAGGGTGGGCCTTCCCTCCTCTGTTAAACCTCTCTGAGAACACACACACACACACACACACACACACACACACGCCAAGGAAAGTGTGTCCTCCTAGATGATGGGTGATGAGGATGAGTCCTGGCAGATGGTCTGGGATGACACAGAGACACATGGGTTCCTCACTCTCTTGATATAGTTGTATGCTTCTCCATGTGGCTTCTTCACGGGGACCTGCCACGTGTTCCGCACACGGGGTAGGCTGGGCTGCATGTGGGTTTCTCTAGGTTTCCAGATAGCCACAGACTGACCTTCTTAATGCTTGCCTTGGTAATCCCAGGACACCACCACTACCACATCACAGCGAGGGGTCATGTTCCACTGAGACAGGAGACACTCGGAGAGTCCAGAGGCAGGAAGCAGAGATTCTTGGAAGACATTTTGAAAGATCACTCACTGCAGACTGAAAATGTCATTGAAGGCACATGTGACTTAAGGAGACAGGACAGACCTGGGGCTCTAATAAAGGAGACGAAGTGGTAGAAGTGGAGAGTAAACATTAGTTGTACAAACATATGTATGATATATATATCAGTGTACATGATATATATATATACATATATGCATAAATTCATATATCACACATATATGTGTGTGTATATATGAATAATAAATACAATGGGTAGAGAAAGTGAGAGTAGAATTTTTCTATTTTCTTTCTTTCTTCCTTTCTTTCTTTCTTTCTTTCTTTCTTTCTTTCTTTCTTCCTTTCTTTCTTTTTTGATACAGGACCTCACATAGTACAGCTGAGAATAACTGTACTTCTGATCCTCCTGCCTCATGAGTGCTGGGGTTTCAGGCATGCACCTCCACTTCCAGTTCATGCCAAACTGGGGATTTAATCCAGAGTTTTGTGTATGTGAAACAAGCATTCTATCAACTAGGCTCTATCCCAGCCTTGGGGTTTTTTGTTTATTTGGGTTTTTGTTGTTTTTTTGTTTTTTGTTTTTGTTTTTAATGTTCATTGGTGTTTTGCCTGCATGTATGCCTGTGTAAGGATTTCAGATCCTGGAACTTGAGTTTCTGACAGTTGGACGGTACAAAATGGGTGCTGGGAATTGAATCCGGGCCTTCTGGAGTGATAGATAGCACCCTCAGGTTGAGAGCTTGGCATGATGGTTTTAAACCAGCCTGAGCTACAAAGTGAGACACTGTTTTATTTTTTTTTTATTTTTTTTAAGATTTATTTATTTATTTTTAAAGTACTTTTTTTTCAAGACAGAGTTTCTCTTTTTTTTCTCTCTAAGATTTATTTATTTTATTGTATGTGAGTACACTGTAGCTGTCTTCAGACACACCAGAAGAGGACATCAGATCCCATTACAGATGGTTGTGAGCCACCATGTGGTTGCTGGGAATTGAACTCAGGACCTCTGGAAGAGCAGTCAGTGCTTGTAACTCCTGAGCCATCTCTCCAGCCCCGAGACACTGTTTTAAATGACACGATGACGACAACACCAACACCCTGCTCTCAGGAACCAGGGCTGTTAGTACGTGCCACTATGCTTGGTCCCATCTTCAAATTTTCAATGCTTTCTTTTTATGGGCCCTAAAATTTCCATTTTGCATTGTACTGTATGCTGCAGACTGTGGAGCCAGCTCTGTGGCTACAGATGCATCCTTTGTAAGATTATGGACTTGCATCATCCTGCAACTGGATTTGGAGCTGAAAGCCCAGAGGCCAACAGGGTCAGACCTTGAAGCACGGTCCCTGTCTCCCCTACAAAAACTTTAACAACGGGTTTAACTCCTCATGTGCCAGGGATCTAATCCCTTCCAGCCCCCCCTTTTTTTTTTTTAATGTACTTTGTACTTTTTTACTTGCTTGTTATATGTATTAATGTTTTGGCAAAGATTTTTCCATTTTTTAAAATTTATTTGTTTGTTATATGTATTAATGTTTTGCCTTCATTTAAGTGCACCACACTCGTGTTATGCCTGTGGGGGTGGGGGGGAGGCTGTTCTGGATCTCCCAGAACTAGAGTTATAAGCTGTTGTGAACCAGCATCTGAGTGCTGGAAACTGAACATAGATTCTTTGCAAAAGCACCAAGTGTTTTTGAACCACTGAAACATCTCTCAGCCCCGGCACACACCCTTAATCCCAGTACCCAAGAGGCAGAGGCAGGTGAATCTCTGTGAGTTTGAAGCCAGCTTGGTCTATATAAAAAAGTTCCAGGCCAGCCAGGGCTACATAGTGACACCTGCCTCAAAATAAAAATAGGTTAAGAACATCTATTCTGAGGCTATTCCAGGACTCCCGTACTTTCTGTTGTCATTGTCAATTAAAGACCCTTGTTGGTTGCTCTGTATTATCCTTATAGGCTATCATTTCCTCTAAACCTACCATTTTCCCATCTAACGATCAACACTCAAAAACAAAGCTACACCCTCCTCTTCCTCACCAGTTCTAAAGAAAGCTCTTTTGTAAGACAGACATGGCTGCACTCTGCCAGCTTCGAGGGGGAAGTGTGTCTAGAGGCAAGGCTATGCTTGTGGTTTTGTTTGACTTTCCTGGCTTTTGGTTTGTGGTGAGGGCCTCTGTTTGTTCGTGGGCCTGCTGTGGGCTCCCGGGTATGGACCTCATTGAGGTTTTGTCTTTTACCGTTTATCGTAATGCTAAGTGCTGGCCTCCAAGGCTTAGAGTCAGCCTTTGGTACCCTGCCCTCAGTTAATTCTGATTGGTAAATAAAGATGCAGGCAGAGTAATTGCTGGGCAGCTGCCTCCCCTCCGTGTTGGGTTAAGAGCAGCCAAGATGGAACATAGGAAGTACTAAGTGATAATTTGGGGTTATCAATGGGAAAATTGATTCTGACAGCTCGGAGGGTAGACAGCTGCCCAGCTATTGTGCTGCTTAAGATATATTCAAACATAAAGGCCGTGTGTGTGTGTGTGTGTGTGTGTGTGTGTGTGTGTGTGCACGTCTTTCATCTGGAAACATAAATGGTCAAAGATGGGAAGGAACCCTGCGCCAGGATTTTTTATTGATTTTTTTTTAACAACAGGATTTTTAATTCCTCCCCTTGGAGAACAACATCATAAAAAGTTTTCTGAGCTGGAGTCCCACGTAAAGAACAGGCTTTCTTCAAAATCCACTTCTACTAGGATCAGGCAACAAAGGCGTGAAAAGTTATGCCTAAGGATAGAATTGAAACCAGGCGTTTTCACTGGGCTCTACATATTTTTGCGGATAGGATGTATACACACACACACACACACACACACATATATGTGTGTGTGTGTGTGTGTGTGTGCATTTGAGAGTATGTGGAGACTATACATCAACCTCTACTGCCATTCTTCGGGAGTGACTTAAGACATTGTTTGTTTAGTGTGTGTGTGTTTGAGCACATGCATGTGTGCACACACAGGTAGAGCAGACACACACTTGCAGAATTCACCCCACTTCCTCCGCTTATGTTCCTGGGTGGGTCAAACTCAGGTTATCAGCCATGGTGGCAAGTGCCTTTACCCACTGAACCATTGTGCCAGCCACTACCATGTTTGCTTCTTGTTGTTGTTGTTTCTGACATGGAGTCTCTCACTGAGACCTAGGGCTCACCCATTCAGCTGTGTTGACCAACCATTGAGCCTCTCTTGTCTCTGCCACCCAAGCTCTGGCCTCCCCAGAGTGTGCCACCACAGATATCTAGCATATTGCAGAGACAGGCAGATCTCAAGTTCAAGATCAGCAAATTAGCCAGACGTGGTGGTGCATGCCTTTAATCCCAGCACTTGGGAGGCAGAGGCAGGTGGATCTCTGAGTTTGAGGCCAGCCTGGTCTACAGAGTGAGTTCCAGGGCAGCCAAGGCTACACAGAGAAACCCTGTTTTGGAAGACCAAAAACAAAGTGATGATGATGATGATGATGATGATGATGATGATGAACATGACAAAGAAAGACGGTATGTGATCCTTGGTGCTGGTGAGAATTCTTGGCTTGACTCCTTCCCAGGAAGCAGGAGAAGTTGAGAACTCAGGTGATGACAGTGGAGTAAGTGTTTAGGGGTTTTTGACTCTTTTGTGTCTGCTTCTTTTTTTTGTTTGTTTTGTTTGTTTGTTTTGTTTCCTCTATGTAGTTCTGGCTGTCCTTGAACTCACTGTTGTAGACCATGCTGCCCTCTATCGAAGGCGTGTGCTGCCGCCGTCTAGGCTGTGTGTCTGCTTCTCTCTATGCACCACACACTAACGTGTCAGTCACTAGGGAGTTGCCGTGAGATCCTGAGTCCTGGCTCACAAGGCACATGTACCCTTTCTCTTCTCTGTCTCTCCCTGGCCAGCGCCTAAGCACCCCATCTCTGCCACCCTGGGCTCTCCCACCTTTTCCCCGAAACCCTCCCCCGAACCGTATGGCTGCCCATCCACTCTGGCTGTTGACAAAAACCACAGCTTTCTCTCTTCCTCTTCTCCGTCTCCCTCCTCCATCCGCTGAGATTTACAGCTTGCCTGCCCTGGAATTTTTCTTTTAGACTTTAATAAAATTACCCTCAAGCTTAAAAACAGCAAACCACATGTAACGTAGCAAGACATTGAGCACATGAAGCCAGAGATTCGTGTTTGGAGTGACTATAGTCACTCAGCAACTGTTTATTTATCACCTACTATCCACACATGGGCTTCTTCTAGGCACCTGGGAACAACAAATTCTGTATGCTTATGAGTGTACAGTCATTGAATTGCCCCCCCCAACCCTTTGGCATCAGTATTACCCCTGTTGAACAAATGGAGAATTCAAAACTGAGCATGGTTAAATAAAATCTTTCCTACGAGCACGTGTCTAATAAGTATTTAAAGTAAGATTCAAACTGAGATCCACTTGACCGTGTAGCCAATAAAGTAGTTACTGCATTGATGCATGTAGCGTGTGTGCGCGCATGCGGGTGAGCGTATGTGGAGGTCTCAGAACCACCTTTGGGATTTGCCTTTTACCAGGTGGGTCTCAGGGATACTCAGGTTGGTGGCTTGGTGGCAGAATTGTTTATCCACTGAGCCGTCTCCCCGGCCCTGCATTCAGACTGATTTTTACTAGGCTGGACAACACCTCTGGCAAAAGAAACCATGGGGGCAAGCTTGAGGAGTGTCTCGGGCTAAAGACATAAAAGTTGTCAAGGTCCCTTCCTGGGGAGAGTACCCTGGGAATTGGAGAAAGTGAATGACTGTCACCACTTTTGCGGCTTAAAAAGGGGGAACTAAGGTTAACACGGAATCTATTTCCCCTTCTCCAGGACAGGAGCAGCCCGGACTTTCACAGAACCACCTAGCTGTGAGAACTCCGGGTAGTATTTGGGGAATATACGTAGTAGCCAGTGCTTGTCTAGCTCAGGTAAGGTCCCAAGTTCAAATGCCCAGCACCAAAGACAAAACAGACGAGGCTGCTGGGCAGAGCGGGGCAACAGACGATGGATTCAGCAAGGACTTGAGAATGACGGGAGGATTTCAACTCATACTCATGCATCAAGCAATGAAAAACAACCACACTTGAAGTAGCCAGTCCCAAATACCAGGAAGGACCCCCTGGCCATGGTACCCAGGCTCTTGGTTTCCACTAGAGAAACATAGCTGATAGCCTGTAGCTATGTCTCTCAGCTTATTCTTTGAAATGCAAACAAAAACAAAGAAACAAACCACTTAAACTCAGAACAAATCGTGGCACCCGGAAGGTTAGAATAGATTCTTTTTGCTCCCTTCTTGGCCACCTGGATGTTCAAACATTGAAATGTGTGGCAGCTCCCCAGGGAAGATAAAAAACCAGCTAGGACTGGGTGTCCTGCAGTAAAGGGTCTCACTCAGCTGGAAATAAGTGTATTGACTCAGTGCAGTTTCTATTTTTTTCAGTCCAGGAAATACCGACAAGTTATTGAGATCATTAACTCTCTCCCAGCTAAAACAAGACCCAGCAAGGCTCATACCGATTTTCTCAGCCGTGCAAAGCGACACAGGCTCTGGGTAGTTCCTAACCCGACACCCACGGCTTTCCTTCACACTCACACGCTGCCCCCTTACCACTGCAATCAGACTATTTAAACACAACCAACTCATTTGAAACCTTCTGGAAAAGGCCGAGCGGCGTGGATTTCATTTCTACCTGAGTGAGAAAGATACAGCTGAGAAAAGAGTGGGGGCATTTTCAAGTCCCCCACCCTTCAGATTTAACTCACAGTTGCCCATTTCTTTGCCTCGTTGTTGGGCTGTTTGTCTTAATGGCATTCAACACACTTGGAGATCCCACTGCCTGTCAGATGGCCTCTGGGAACTATTGGCCACATCGATGAAGCTCTTACGACAGATATTTGAAATTGGCATCTCTTCGGACCTCCGAGTCTTTGAGCGTCCTGGGCGTTTGGGTTTCAAGCTGCAGATTTTGATCTCGGTGTAGAATTTGGGGAACGAGGGACTTGAGAAATAGTATATAAGGGGGTCCAGCATGCTGTTCAGGTAGGTGAAACTCAGGGTGACATGGAGGGCTATGTGGACAGAGGGGTCACAGGCACTGGAGGGCACCGTCCAGAGGAAGTAGAGCCTGGCCAACACACTGGGCAGGTAACACGTGATAAACACAGAAGCCACCACCATGATGAACCGAGTGGCCCTCCTCATCCGAGCCTGTCCGCTCAGCTGCTGCCTCTGTCTCAGGCTCCAAACAACTTTGAACGAGCAGAACAAGATGATAGTCAGGGGCAGGAAGAACTCCAGCTGGAACATGATATCATGCCACCCGTTGGCCGACTCCATGATGAAGCTCTCACAAGACGACACCGTCCCCCGCGCACACAGGTGACTCTCCATCAGAAGGTACACAGTCCCCAAGATGACCAAAGTCCAGAGGACACAGGCGGCGGCAGCTGCAGTCCGGTTGGAGATGACATTCACCATATGGTGGGGGTGGACCACTTTGAAATACCTGTCCACAGCCACCACAGTGAGGAAAACAATGCTCCCAGCCCTATTCATGGCCAGCATGAAGAGGACCAGGCGACAGGGGATATCTCCAAAAATCCAGTGCCTACGTCTGAGGTAGTAGTCTGTCCGAAGGGGTAAGCAGATCATGAGGAGAAAATCGGCCACGGCCAAGTTGAAAAGGTAAATTGTGCTCGACTTCCAGGTTTTCATGTGAAAGCAGAAGCCACACAGGGCTATGCCGTTGCCCAGGGCACCAAGAACGAAGACCAGGATGAGTAGAGGCGGCATCACCTGGGAGATGGGTTCCCCCTCGATGAGACAGCACGACCCGTTGTCCATAACAGCTGGAGAGAGGACAAGCATCCTAGGTGGCCAGCACAAAGGCACAGCTGCCTATCTGAACACTACGGCTCCCCTAGCAGCTGGGCCCCTAACCTCATCACCCTGGGATGCAGACGCTGCGCCTACAAGAGCAACCTCAGCCAGGAGATGAAAGCCGGCAGCAAGTCCTTTCTCCTCAGTCTGGATCATAAGCTGCATGTCCCTTACAGAGGTGAAGCCTGCAGCTGGGTCAGGCTCCAAGGCACAAGCAATTTTCCATAAGTGTACATTTCTGGGTTGCAGCTCCGGGGTCTGAGGCTAGACACGCTACAGACTTGTTGCTAGGTCTAGCCCTGGAGATAATTTTTCTTTTCTGGTTTGGTCTTTTCCCTCACACTGTGTTGCAGAATGTTCTGAGCTGCCAGAAGGCTTGGGGGGTGGGTGGGGGAGCTTGTTTGCCCTCCCTCCTGGTGGAGAAATCTAAACATTTCCTGGAGTCGTTCTGGGCCTCTGCCTGGCTGCTTTCCTGCTTTCCTCCCTAACCTTTGCCTGACTACTCCGTCCTCCCTGAATCCCCTGGGACACTCCCATGCAGTGCCAGAGAGGGGAGACTGTGTTTTGCAGCCTCTCAGGGTCACTTCCTGTGCCCACACCCAGAACGACACCCTCCAATACTGGGAGGGGTCTGCAGAGAAACGCAGTTTGAAACATCCATACGGTATAAGAAAAATTCTTTATGGGTTGAGGGTGTAGCTTGGAGATGTCATGTGCAAAACTCTGGGTTTTGGGCTCCAGTCCTACTACCACCCCCCTTTAAAGAGATATGAAAATGATTTTCTCCTGTCTCCATGGAGGCAGCCTCTTCTGGAGGAGTTGGGTCTCTGGCTCTACTGCGAAGTAGAATCTAGTTACTTACTTTTGCAAAACTTTGGCTTTGTTTCCAATCCATGGCTAAGAAGAGGCAAGCATCTCCCCATAGCCTGTTAGTGATGTGAGCGGGGAGCCAAGAGGTTGCTTAAGGGGTTAATTTCTAAGATATTCATGGACAAAATGAGACTGCTTAAAAAACTGGAATCTTTGCTAAAATTTCCTGTCCTTTGGCTTGAGAGTGTCCATCTGCCGCCTTTTCCAATTTACGAAGAGTGGAGATGGGGGAGGGCGGTATACATGGAAAGAACACAGGAGTACATTCTTCTACATGCTGATTAAAGCTAGATTTGAGCTGGACATGGTGGTGCATGCCCAGAACATGCAACATGCACACACACACACACACACACACACACACACACACACACACACACAGACACACACTTTAAATATTTTATTTATGTGTAAGTGCTCATGAAGGCCAGAAGAGGGCGATGCATCCTGTGAGATGGAGTTACCGGTGGTTGTGGCGGTGAGGTGGGGCTGGGAACTTTTTAACGCCAGTCCTCTGGAAGAGCAGGAGGTGCTCTTTCTCTTAAAAATCAGTTTCAAGCCGGGTATGGTAGCCCACACCTTTAATCTCAACTCGTGAGAGGCAGAGGCAGGAAGATCTCTGTTTGAGGGCAACTTGGTCTATAGAGTGAGTCCAGGACAGTCAAGGCTACAAAGAAACCCTGCCTCAGGAACGGGGGGGGGGGGGCGGGAGGAGAGAATCAGTCCCAAGTAGCCCAGGTTAGTCCTGAACTTGTTCTGCAGATGATGACCTTGAATCTCTTATCTTCTGTCTCCCAACTACTAAATTAAAAGCTAATGAGTCACTAGCCAGCTGGAATCCCCTTATCTATATCTCCTTTCTGTTTTTCTTTCCTCCACCTTGTCTTTCTCCTCTTTCTCCTTCTTTCTCTCCCCTCCCTTTACCCCTTCCTGACTTTTTGAGACAGCATCTCTGTAGAGCCCTGGCTTCTCTTGAACTCTTCACCCTTGGTGTCACCAGGCCAGCTGCTCACGTTTTCCCAGGTGACTACTAGACTCCAAACCAGCTCCATGTATCCCCCTGCTACCCCACCACAGACACCGTCACCTCTTGTGGCATCGCCCACCACTCCCCATCACTGACACAGTCACCTTCATCATGGCTGTAGAAACTGTGTCCTACCTGCCTTCACTTCCTCTCTGAGATTCAACTGCCACGGAGAAATTAATGTTGTTTTGTCCTGTGGATTGAACCCAGGGCCTTGTGTATTCTTGGCCAGGGCTACCACTGAGCTGGGGTGAGGAGTGTGCCATACCGTTTCTTCCAGCCTTTCCCTCCTTCTCTCCTCTCTTCTCCTCCCATCCTTCTCTCCTCCTCTCTCCTCCCTCCTCCTCCCCTCCTCTCTTCTTCCTCCTCATCCCCTCCTTCTCCTCTCTGTCTCCTCCCCTCCTCTCCTCTCCCCCCTCCTTTATTCTGAAACAGGATCTCTCTAAATTGCTCAGATTATCTGTCTCTGACTTCTGAGATGCATCTCTCTCGAGCAGATCTTGAGTCTGTGGTCTTCCTGCTTACCCATCCTCAAGAGCCGGAATTACAGACTTATTGTGACCAGCAAGGCTCAGATATTACAGTCTTCTTTCTTTCTTTCTTTCTTTCTTTCTTTCTTTCTTTCTTTCTTTCTTTCTTTCTTTTTGTTTTGTCTTTCGAGACAGGGTTTCTCTGTATAGCCCTGGAACTCACTCTGTAGAACAGGCTGGCCTTGAACTCAGAAATCCACCTGCCTTTGCCTCCCAAGTGCTGGGATTAAAGGCATGCACCACCACCGCCCGGCTACAATCTTCTTTCTTTTTTTCACCTGTGGGCCTTGCTAACTCCATCTAGTCTGTGAAAATGCAGGCAGAGCACAGATGGTTGAAAAAAAAATCTGTTTGGTTTGGTCCATTTGTTCATTATACAGTGCTGGAGAACTGAACCCAACACTTGCTCAGAGAAGGTAAATGCTCTACCCCGAGATACATCCCCAGGTGACTTATTTTACTTTGTTGAGGCAGAGTAGCACCTTATATATAGCTCAGGCTGTCCCAGCTTCCTGAGTTCTGTTACAAGCCTGAGCCACCATGCCTGGCTGGTTCACAGGTTTTGTTTGTTTGTTTGTTTGTTTTGTTTTTTCCAAAGGGGAGGGGGTTTATTCAGGACAGAGGGCAAAGGTGGGGGGAGAGAAACAGAAGAAGATGGAGGGGAAAGAGGAGAGAAGTGGAGGCCGGCCATGACCACGTGGAGAGAGGGGGAAGGGAAGGGGGGAAGGGCAAGGGAACAGAGAGAAGCTAGAGGCAAGAGAGCAAGAGAGTAAGAGTTTTTTTTTTTTTTTTTTAAAGAGATTTAAATTGTCTTTTGAAACCCGCATTTCTGTTGTTTTAGTTGGTTTTGTTTGAGACAGAGTTTCTCTGTGTAGCCCTGGCTGTCCTGGAACTCATTCTGTAGATCAGGCTGGCCTTGAACTCACAGAGATCCTTCTACCTTTGGTGTCAGAGTGCTTGGATTAAAGGCATGCGCCACCTCTGCCCACCTCACATTTCTGTCTTTTTGTATTTTATCTATTTGCTTCTTTATGCTGACCGTTTTGCTTTTGTTTGTTGACAGCATCTCTTTTTGTAGTTCAAGTTGGCCTGGAACCCACTGTGTGGACCAGGTTGGCCTCAAACTCATGGCAATCTTCTTCCTAGCTCAGACCCCTAAGTACTGGGGTTGCAGGCCTGAACTACAGCTCCCAGCTCCCACTTTCTCATAGACAGTTGGCAGATCTGCCTCGCTAGGCTACTAGTACCACACAGCAACAGCCCACCAGAGAGCAGCAGGATGGTGCCTGCCTGGTCTCTGAAGCTTTTCAAGTTCGCCATCTCTGCTCTCAGCTGGAGTTCTCATTTCTTGGATTAATCACCAGGTTCTTCGTGGCTGATTCCCTGTTTACTCCTTCTCTTCCATATCATTCTTCGGCTGCTTTTCTTCTTGTTAGTCCTTTTATTTTATTTTATTTTATTTTATTTTATTTTATTTTATTTTATTTTAAACATCCAGACCACAGTTTCCCCTCCCTCCTCTCCTCCAAGTCCCCTCCAACCTCCCCTCTCCCCCCTCATCTACTCCCTCGTTAGCCTTATAACTTCTAATAGATAAATGTATTCACCAAAACACTTAAATCCAGTTCCCTCTGGAAGCTTCTAGAAGACAAATTCTTTTTTGTTTGTTTGTTTGTTTGTTTGTTTGGTTTTTCGAGACAGGGTTTCTCTGTGTAGCCCTGGCTGTCCTGGAACTCACTCTGTAGACCAGGCTAGCCTCGAACTCTCGAACTCAGAAATCCTCCTGCCTCTGCCTCCCAAGTGCTGGGATTAAAGGCGTGCGCCACCACTGCCCGGCTGAAGACAAATTCTTATATGCTTGTCAGATGGGGCACAGAATAAGGACCCTATAAGTGATTTTTAAAGGATGTGTTCAGTTTTATCTTATGTGTATGTCTGAGCGTATGTGTGTGCACCACTTTCATGCAGGAGCTGATGGAGATCAGAAAAAACTATTGGCTCCCCTGGATCTGGAGTCAGTGCTAATCACCCTTGTAGAGGATTCCAGTTCAGTTCCCAGTATCCATACTGGGAGGTATCGCATCTTCCTCTAAATCCAGCGTCAGTATTTCTGACACCTCTAGCCTCCTCTGGTACCTGCAGCCATGTGTACACACCCACACAGCGACACACAGACACACATACAATTAAAAATAATTTTTTACAATGAATATGTGGAAGAGGGCATGGAGATACACTCTCCTAATCCCAGCATTCAGGAAGCAGAAGCAGGTGGAGCTCTGTGAGTTTGAGGCCGGCCTGGTCTACAGGGTGAGTCCTAGAACAACCAGGGCTATATAATGAGACCTTGTCTCAAAAAAGAAAAATGTTGAGTGAATGTATCCCTGGGGTGTCCTTCTTGGTACTTCAGGACATCTCAACAGTCACATGATGCCTGGGGCAGAACATAGCAGGGGGATAGTACAGATGCATAACTATCAATAAGAAAAAGCAAAGTCCAACTTAGGCTAGCCTGTGCTTCTACTGCTGTGAAGAGACACCATCACCAAAGCAATTTACAGAAGAAATCATTTAACTGGGGGAATTGCTTATAGTTTCGGGGGTGAGTCTGTGGTCATCATGGCAGGGAGTGTGGCAGGCGAATGGGCATGGTGCTGGAGACTTAGCTGAGAGCTCACATCTGTTGAGAGAGAGAGAGAGAGAGAGAGAGAGAGAGAGAGAGAGAGAGAGAG